TCGTAGCTGAGAGAAAAAAGATTTTTTAGCCCAGAGAATATCTTCCGTCAGAGTGATTGTTGATTCATAGATTCTAATAACCCCTTTTGAAGTTTATATGAAAGCTTTGATATCTGCTATGCAGATCTAGTTCTTATTATTATTCTTATTATTCTTATTTTTCTTATTCCATTTTGATTGTATCTCAGAAACTACTTGTCGGATTGATTTGATGTCTGTGGTTTTACTGGGAAAGTGGGTGTGACTTAGAGATTAAAGCTATTTCCAACGTTCTGCGATAATGCGAAATGTCCGAAATCGTCGAAGTTTCGATTTTTGAAATATTGCTGTAATATTAACAATAATCGTTGCATTTTAATATTGGATACATTCTGACATAGCCAGAGACAAGGCACATAGCTACGGTTCTTTAGATTTTTGATTTTCGACGAATCGTCGGAGATATTAGGCGCCAAATTTTGAAAATTTAAATTTTTACAAAAAACTTTTTTATTGATGAATATTTTTATGTGGTATTTTACCCAGGGTTAAAGAGTCATCTGATTTGACCAAAAATGGCACCATTTTTTGTCACCGTAATTTTCCTTGGCCCCCATTGGCTAATTCAGTTTTTCAGTCCTGGATCAATTATTTAATACTCGATTTGTATCAAACAAAGATCATTAGCTCGGTGGTCCAAAATGTCATTTTTTTTGTTACCGGTAAAGTTACCTTTCGGCAACGGAAGTGACGTAAATTTAGCAAAAACTACAATTTTGACAGTTTTGAAAGCAAATATTATTTTTTTCAAATCTGGTATGACTGAAAGTGTGTGCCCTGTAAAGGCGCAGAAAACATCGGGCTCAGTTTTTTTAATTTCGATTTCGTTTTCGGGTCATTTTGATTTATATGGGCAAAAAGGTGAAAAAATGAGCTATTTACAACCAATTCAGGCTTTTCATATTTTAAAATATTTCTTCGCAACTTTTATAAACTTGTAGCAATAATCCATACGAAGAGAGTGTATGTGAAAATTAGTTTGTAATATAAGCAGTTGCCGAGAAATGGGCAATTTTGCATGAGTCACGATTTACTCTAGTTTGCCGGTAAAAGAGTCAATTATTATTGGATTTTCATAAAAGCGGCACGATTTGATGCGTAATGTCAATTTTAACTAGGTCAAACCAATTTAACATTTTCAATGTCACCGGAAATGACGTAATTTGGGCAAAAACTGTATTTATAGCCTTCGAAACAAATAATTGATTCAAATGCGTCGTATTTGTTATTTGTTTAAAATTTTGATATTTGATTCAAATCAACTAATAGAATGAACCCATACGATCATATAGATATCACAAATTGGTTTCTAACTTGTTCAGTTGCAGAGAAATTGACGATTTTCATAAAATTGTCACCGTGTGATACCTAATGCCATTTACGATTTCATTCAAGTAATTTATGATTTTCATTATCACCGGAAGTAACGTCATTTTGGCAAAAACTGTATTTTTAGCCTTTAAAACAGATATTTTATTCAAATGAGTCTGATTTGTAATGTTTTTAAAATTATGATATTTCATTCCAATCAACAAATAGATTGAACCCATACGATCATACAGATACCAAAAAATGGTTTCTAACTTGTACGGTTGCAGAGAAATAGACGATTTTCTACAAGTCACTGATCAAGGTTTTTGGTCTATGAAAGTGGAAATTATTATTCGATTTACACATAAAATTTTCACCATGTGATGCCTTATGCCATTTCTGATTTCATAAAACTAATTTAGCATTTTCATTATCACCGGAAGTAATGTAATTTTGTCAGGATCACTTACATGTGACAAATGTATACAATGAATTGATATCGCTGGATTTGGTTGATTCTGCGTACATTTTACTTGTGTGTGCAATGCTTATATGGAAACCTTTTTAATGGTTTCATCGGTACCATTAGAGATTAAAGCTATTTTGGGCATTCTGTGACAATGCGAAATGTCCGAAATCACCGAAGTTGTCGTTTTTTAAAAAATGCCGTAGTATTACCAATAATCATCGAATTTTAACATATGATGCATTTTGACATAGCTGGAGACCAGGCACATAGCTGTGCTACTTTTGATTTTTCATTGTCGACGAATCTTCGTAGATATTAAGCGCCAAATTTCGAAAATTTTGAAATTTTACAAAAAAATTTTTTATTCATGAATATTTTTATATGGCATTTTAACCAGGGTTGAAGAGTTATCCGATTTGACTAAAAATGTCAACATTTTTTGTGTCCGTAATTTTCCTTGGCCGCCATTGGCTAATTCAGTTTTTCAGTCCTAGATTAATTATTTATTATTTGATTTGTACAAAAGAAAGTTCATATGCTGTGTGGTCCAAAATGTCATTTATTTTGTTACTGGTAAAGATTCGTGTCGGCACCGGAAGTGAAGTAAAATCAGCAAAAACTACAATTTTGACAGATTTTGACAGTTCGGTACAACTTTTTGAAAGCAAATATTATTTTTTCAAAATTTGATATTACCAAAAGTATACGCCATGCAAAGGCGCACAAATCATCGGACTCAGTTTTTTTAATTTCGATTTCGTTTTCGGGCTATTTCGATTAAAAGGTGAAAAAAGGTGTAAAATTAAGCTATTTACAACCCATCCACCGTCTTCATATTTCATCGTAACTTTCATAACCTTGTAGCAATAACCCATACAAAGAGAATGTATGTCAAAATTAGTTTGTAATATCAGCAGTTGTCAAGAAATAGGCAATTTTGCATGAGTCACATTTCGTGCTATTTTGCCTGTACAAGAATCAATTATTATTCAATTTTCAATTTTCTTTCACCATTTGATGCCGAATGCCACGTTTGACTAGATTAAAACATTTTAACACCTTTACTGTCACCGGAAGTGACGTCATTTGGGCAAAAACTGAATTTTAGCCTTCAAAACCGATATTTTTTTCAAATGAGTCGTATATGTTATTTGTTTAAAAGTATGATATTTAATTTCAATCAACAAATAGAATGAACCCATACGACCATATAGATACCACAAAATGGGTTCTAACTTGTAAGGTTTCAGAGAAATAGACGATTTTCTACTAGTCACTTTTAGAGGTTTTTGGTCTATAACAGTGTCAAATATTATTCGATTTTCATAAAATTTTCACCATGTGATGCCTTATGCCATTTCTGATTTCATAAAACTAAAATTTCATAAAATTCCCACCGGAAGTAATGTCATTTTAGCAAAAAACGTATTTTTAGCCTTCAAAACAAATATTTTTTTGAAGTGAGTTATATTTAGTTTTCGTTGACCATTATGATATTTCATTCCAATGGAAATATAGATTGGATCAATACGATCATAAATATGTCAAAAAATAGCTTCTAGCATCTTCTCTTGCAAGGAAATAACCAATTTCGTCAGGATCACTTTTTAAGACTTTTTGCATTTTTATTACAGTTTATGGGTTCTAAATTAATTATTTATTGCCTGATTTGTATAAAAAAAAAGCTCATATACTCCTTGGTGCAAATTCTCAACTTGTTTCTACCTATAAAGTTTTCTGTCGGCACCGGAAGTGACGTAATTTTGCCTAAAATTTAAATTTTGACGGGTCGGGAGGTCTTTTCCTAAGAAAAAATCTTAATTTCTACAAATCTTATCAATGAAGATGAATGCTCCTACTACAGGAGCAAAATATGTCGGGCTTAGTTTTTTGGGGTTTTTTTTATATCAGTTTTGTATTTGCGCCATTTGGATTTAAGGTTGAAAATAGGAGTAAAAATCAGCTATTTACAACCCATTCATCGTCTTCATATTTTAAATTGTTTCTACGCAACTTTCATAATTTTGTAGCTTCAATCCATACAAGGACAATGTATGTCAAAATTAGATTGTAATGTGCGCAGTTACAAAGAAATAGGCAATTTTGCATGCGTCACTTTTCACGTTATTTTGCATGTAAAAGAGTCAATTATCGTTCGATTTTCAATTTTTGTTACCATGTGATGTATGCCTCATGTCACCTTTGACTAGGTCAATCCAATTTAACATTTTCACTGTCACTGAAAATGACGACATTTGGGCAAAAACCCATAAGACCATACAGATATCACAAAATGGTTTCTTATTTGTTCAGTTCCAGAGATATAGGTCTTGGTCTATAAAAGTGTCAATTATTATTCGATTATCATAAAATTTTCACCATGTGAGGCCTTATGCCATTTATATTTTCATTGAATTAATGTAAAAATTTTATTATCACCGGAAGTAATGTAATTTTGGCAAAAACTGTATTATTAGCCTTCAAATTGTTTTGAAGTTAGTTATATTTATCATTTCTTTAACATTATGATATTTGATTCCAATGGACATATAGATTGGATCAATACGATCATATAGACGTCCAAAAATTGTTTCTAGCATCTTCCCTTGTCGAGAAATTTCCCATTAAAAAGTCAGCTAACTTAGCGGTAAGTTAGTAACAAATTTTGTAAGGATCACTTTTTTGACATATGTAACACATGGTAACAAATGTATAAATGAAATTAATATTACTGGGTAACTGGCACCGGAAGTGACATAAGTTCAAGGGTAATGTGGCACCGGTGAAACCCGTCATTACTGCATCGCAGTTCTAGTTTCATATTATGATTGTTATTGATTTGGTTATTATTTTTTGTGAACCTTAGGGGCAGTGGCTGAAGGGCAGAAAATTTGACTCAATATCCTGGCTTTTGAGATCATTGCTGAGAGCAAATTCTTGTGAACGAGAGGATCAGAAATCCATTTTAATATTGGCACATGAACCGCATGCCAGAATGCTTTCGACTGCCATTTTTAATGAAGTGACTCGATGAACAAGGTTTAACATATCCCACTGGATAATACTACCTGTGCACACTGGAATAATCAGACGCCAAAGACTCTGACTGCCATTCAATTTGGACTCTTCGCTTATTTTGTCGAAAATAACTTATTATAAATTTCAGCAAAAACAGAAACGATTGAATGTAAATCAGTTTATATACATTCATATTACATTATTATATGCATTGCAAGCCATTTGTGTCCATTTCTAGGTGCCAAAGAATAGAGATTTAGCTCCTTTAAATGTTGCAATTATGATACAATTTTCCTGAAATTTTTGTCAGTTGTTTAGCTTGTAACTCCTCAGACAATTTAGCAGCTGGTGGGCATGTTTCATTGCCTGCCAAAGTGTGTCTTACCTACTAGCGAAAAACACCCTCCCACCCCCACCCCCACACATACTAATGTTTGTTTAATATGGAAATAATTACCATACACTACTAGTGTACACAGTACCAAATAATTTAAATGAAAGGCACTGTGTGTTCTGACATTTGTTTCAGCTGTTGTATTTAAAAAAAAGATTAATAATTTACCGAGACGCAATGAAAATGCAGCACATCTCGTTTGAGAGACACACTGTAACAACATCAGATCACAACAAATGACAATAACAATTTCGTGTTTGTGTGAACACACCCCAGATCAATTCTCTAATTCGGCAGACTGGAAATGTTGAAAATCATGATCTGGTGCAGACAGGGGTTATAAAAATTTAAAATGTGTTTCAAAAAGAAAGGGCCAGTACAACTTTTATAGTTCTGTATCTGTGGAATACGCAATGATATGCTAAGGTTGACATCTGAATTCTGAAAGTGCAACATTAATTCAAGACGGTGTGAGCATCAGAGCCATCAGCTGAAGTTTTGGATGCCATCACACTACCATCCAGTGCCTGGCTGATTGTTTCCAGCAGAATAGAGATTGGCAAAAAGGCTGGACAGCCATGCATAACATTCACCTTAACAAGACTAGCATATTATCTGTCAACATCTGCAGGATTGCATTTTGCCAGCTTCCCATACTGCTATGGGGTCATCAGTGCTGGCACTATTTGCTGCCGACTACACTCTCCTTGAGCACAATACTCTCCATGTATCTTTTTGAAATTGATTCTGACTATACTCTGCTGGACTGCGTGCCAGACTGCCTTACATTGGACCAATTCTGACTAGACGCCATCACTAACTTTGGATTTTTACCCCTTGTGCCCACTTCTCACTGTACCTAGTGTAAACGGTAAAGCAATGTTGTTATGGCCCCTGATGTTTGTTGTCACACAAAAACTGCATTAAGTCCCGCCAACACTTCCAGTCAAATCATTGGGGTGTTTTCATTGCATTGCAGTATATTACTAGACATTCTTACATTACAATTAAACATTACTGGCAGAGTAATTTAATACATTGTGTTTATAATAATAATAAAAGCCTTAAGCTTACAAAAAGAATTCTATAAGGCTGTACCATTATCGGCAGTTGGTCTGCCTCTATTTTCAACAACTCTTCTATAAATAAGACTAACATAAATAGCTAATAACAGTATGATAAAAATATCATCTAGAAAACCAAGAAGTCCGAACATTGATTCTGGTATGATATCAAACGGTGAGATAAAATATAATAAGGCAGCAATACAACACATTACAACTCGTAATCTAAACATCCACAACAATCCACCCACAGTAAAAAATTCAGAGAAGGCATGACGCAGAAGTGTAGGTAAATCTCGCACATAATCTAAAAACGGACGAGGTTCACCAGAAAATCTGGCATTATAATGATTTATTGCACCCTGAATTAAAGTTCTTTCGGCCGAAGGAGTCTGAACTTCTTCTTCTGTAAAATTGAAAAGCATAATTGTAACAGCTTGCCTACACACCGGGCATTTTACTCCCCCTAACCAATGTCCATGTTCCCAATATGCTACGAAACAGCTACTGCAAAAAACATGTCCACAATTAGTTTCTGAAGCAAATACAGCATCCCCCAGACATATTGGACATGTAAACTGATTATTATGATCTCTTCTGGCTCTTGATGGTGTTCTGGCACTCAAATGTTCTCTGGTTGCTGCCACATTAATGGCACTGTCGGGGTGAATATTGTTTGAACGCTCTTCATTTTGTATCTTCCATACAAAGTAAATCAGAGGTATGAGTATCCCCAAAAACGCTGCAAAACCATACAGAATTTCATTACCTACCCCTTCTATGAGGTTAGTTTTACGCAAATAATAACCTGACATTTTCTTATTCTCTATAGTGCTGGCACGATATATCGTTGAATTATCGTGATTCACCTTCTCACAATTCACATATTGAATCACGATCACTGAATCGATGCATCACGATTCTTTTTTTATGTTTTTTTTTTTTTTTTGTGGCTTCAGTAAGTAACCTAGCTGTCACCGTAATTATCAACATCACACATTATCCATCATAGGTACACTAATGACTAAAACTCTTAAATTATTTTGGACCTTATCAATAGGCCTATTGTGATATAAAACAGTTTTATTTTTCTGAGATCAGCAGGACTAATCACTAGGCCTAATAATAACAATAAAAATCAATTTCAGTCCTACTCATTCGTACATTTTTCTCTTGTTTTGGTAAATATTGACCTGGTACGAATCGTATCGTAGCACCTGAATCGCGATACTAAGGGCCTACATGTATCGCATCATGACTGCAGTGGCAATACTCAGCACTATCTATCTTAAACAATCACTGAAAATCCATTAAAAAACCCCCACAAGAATTGTAAAACGTACTTTGTATTGTAGATTTCCTACATGGTCAAGGATGCTTTCGGGTCAAGTTCAAGGTTGGTGATGCATTCGGCAAACCTCATCTGATTCCAGTACCCTCGTATTTAGCGGCGCGTCGAATTACCCAATAACACCCAATAACACCCAGTAACACCCAATAACTCCAAAATAACACCCAATAACTCCAAAATAACAACCAATAACTACAATTTAGTTGAATTTAAAGTAGCTAAGTCTCTAACTCAATATCATCCAAAATCTTCAACTTTGAAAACACGAATTATTTGTCAAATTAAATCAACATTCATGTTGTGATCTTACCGGAAAAAAATGCGCTTTTGATATCCACTATTTAAAGGAGCTATATCGCTAGCATTTGGGACCTAGAAATTGACCAAAGTGGGTCGCAACGCATATAATACTGTAATATGGATGTATATAAACTGATTTGCATTCATTGGTTTCCGTTTTTACTCTAATTTCAAATCAGTCATGTTCGGCGAAATAAGCCAGCAGTTTCAATCGAATGCAAATTTCTAGCGTCTGGTTATTCCAGTCTACATACGCCGTTTGATTGGTGCAATGTGTCTAGCCTCGTCCCTCGAGTCTCTTGTTACAACTGGGGCTGAAGCGCATTATGGTACACGATTCGTGTACCAATGGTAAAATGTTTATTTTGTCTTAAATATTGGATATCAGAAGCCCATCTTTTTCCGGTAAGATCACAACATCAATGTTGATTTAATTTGACAAATAAATCGTGTTTTCAATGTTGAAGATTTTGGATGATATTGAGTTACAGACTTAGCTCCTTTAATACAAAATAAACATTTTACCATTGGTACACGAATCGTGTACCATAATGCGCTTTAGCCCCAGTTGTATCAAGAGACTCGAGGGACGAGGCTAGACACATTGAGCAAAATCAAACGGCGGATGTAGACTGGAATAACCAGACGCTAGAAATTTGCACTCGCTTGAGACTGCTGGCTTATTTCGCCGAACATAACTGATTTGAAATTGGAGTAAAAACGGAAACCATTGAATGTAAATCACAAAAACAAAACTATACAGTTATATGGGACAACAATCACTGGTTTATTATACACAAGCACGACGTTTCGATAAGTATTCTCTTATCGTTATCAAGCACAATGACATTTAGTAAACTTGAGGGTCTATATATATGTACAATGCGAAACCATTCTTATTACTAATCATTAGAAGAGTTCAACCAATCAACCAAGTCTCTAACTCAATCATCCAAAGTCATATACCAGGAAAAGACAGGCTTCTGATATCCAATATTTAAGACAGAATAAACATTTTACCATTGGTACACGAATCGTGTACCATAGTGCGTTTTAGCGTCATTTGCAACAAGTGACCAGAAAGAACGAGGCTAGACATAATCGACTGGAGAACCTGCTCAATAGACTCGAATAACCAGACGCTAGAAATTGCTATGGGGTTGAGACACAGGCCGTATTTCGCTGGACATAACTGATTTGAAATCAAAGAGTCAAAACGGAAACAATTGAATGTAAATCAGTTTATATACATTCATATTACAGAATTATATGCGTTGCAACCCACTTTTGTCAATTTCTAGGTCCCAAATGTATGATGGCCCATGGTCGCAATAGCGTTTTTTGGGTTATTTTTGGTATTTCATTTAAAATAATAAAAATATTAGTACAAAAAAAAAAAGAAACATTTTTTTTTTTTTTACAAAATAAAAAAAAATAATCTTTAAAAATTAAAAAAAAAATCTTTTTAAAAATTTAAAAAAAAAAAATCTTTTTAAAAAATTTAAAAAAAAAAAACTTTTTAAAATGAAAAAAAAATCTATATATATATATATATATATATATATATATATATATATATATAAAAATAATAAAATATATTTTAAAAAAATAAAAAAGAAATAATATTTAAAAAAAAATTAAATGAAAAAAAAAAAAAATTGAAAAAGAAAAGATGAAAAATAATTCCCGACGTGGCCCATCGTCGCAATAGTGTCTTGAGTATCCAGACCCAGTATACAGCTATCATTAGACTAGAGCGACCAGAAACATTTTGTGGCCCATTGTTGCAGTAGTATCTCGATTATTATGTGTGGGATCTATGAAGAACGTATAAACTCGAACGACAAGAAACGAGTCTGTAGTTATCTCACGTCAACATAATTGTAGATACTTCAATTTTGATTAGCTAAGCACTAAAATAAATCTAATATTATCTATTATCCAATCAAATACTAAAATCTGAATTTTATCTTAGTAAAACAGGCCCCAGACGAAGTCCACGTAGGCTATCATGCTCCATTTTGTCTTTGAAATTGATGTTGTCCGACATCGCACTTTCGCACCTCTTACCCGTTCCTGTGGTCGTAGCGGGGGACTAGCGATGACCTCAGGGAGAGCAGGGGTTTCACAAACACTGAAGCTAAAATCACTAACATAGATTTTAAAATCAAAGTGAAATTTTAAATTTATGCGTTTCACGAAGATCGATTGTAACTTAAAATTTAATTTTAATAGATTTTAGTTAAAATTACTTGTGCCTTGATGTGAGGTAACTATAGACTGGTTTCTTGTCGCTCGAGTCTATACCATACGTTCTTCATAGATCCCACACAGGATAATCTGAACGACAGACCCACGATGTTTGACAGGTCACCCTACTCCTTGTCACGTACAACCGGGGATTCGAAATCACGCCAGTTGACTTAATGACGGGCTTTATGATATGACAGGCTTTATGATACAGCGCGCACGTGCCAACCATTCGCCCCCCCCCCCCCCGGCTACTTAGTAGTAGTAGGCCTATACTTCGAGGATTAGTTTCAAAGTTGTTAACTACTTTTGAAATTCGACCTCAGGGAGACCAAGTGTTTTAAAAACATTACATAAGCCTTTTGAGGGGAGAATAGGCCTTGCGCACTAGTAGGCCGAATGGTGTCATTAAAGTCAATGACTTCAAACGTCATTATGTATGTAGGCCTAGTTCTAGTTAGACTGGATAAACTAGTCTAAATGACGCTAGGCTTCTATAGTCTATTAATTATACATTTCTATTGACTTGCATATGTATAAATACATATATCCAAGTCCATAGACGTCATGGGTGGAAAAATTGTGTTTCACGTGTTGATGTCTGTTTACCTTTTTCCTTTCGGAAGGGGAGATAACTACAAACTCGTTTCTTGTCGCTCGCGTCATGCCACATAGGATAATCGAGACACTATAGCAACAATGGGCCACGAGGTATTTCTGGTCACTCAAGTCGAATGATAGCTGTCGTAGGCTGATTTTATACCGAGTCTGGATAATCAAGACACTATTACGACGATGGGCCACGTGCAGAATTCTTTTTTTGATTTTTTCTATTTCACTTATTTTTTTTTTTAATTAAAATGTTATTTTTTTTATAGATTTTTTTAATCTTAAATATTTTATTAATTTTTTTTATATAGATTTTTTTATTTTAAAAAGATTTTTTTTTTTTCTTAAATTTTAAAAAGATTTTTTTTTCTTTTTAATTTAAAAAGATTTTTTTTTCTTTTTAATTTAAAAAGATTTTTTTTTCTTTTTAATTTAAAAAGATTTTTTTTTCTTTTTAATTTAATCAAATTGTTGTAAATGCGAGGTCGATAGCATGCGAACACACACGTCTGCGTATCGCTACAGCAAACATGATCGGAAAAAATAACGTACTGGCGTTGGGTATGCTTATGGCAGTAACAATATTTAAAAAGTTTTTTTTCCTTAAATTTTAAAAAGATTTTTTTTTATTTTGTAAAACAAAAGAAAAAAAAATGTTTTTTTTTTTTTACTTTTATTTTTTATGATTTTAAATGAAATACAAAAAATAACCCCAAAAACGCTATTGCGACCATGGGCCACCATACAAATGTTAGCGATTTAGCTCCTTTAAGAAGCATCGCTGCTTTGTGTCCAAATCGGAGGGAGATAACTCGTATATGTGATTTTTGTTGACAAGAAATTAATAACACCCAATAACTGCTCAATAACTGCCCAATAACACCAAATTGTTGACTTTGGAAGTACAAAATAGCAATTTAGTTGAATTTAAAAGCCTCGCAACGTTGAGCCCAAATCAGAGTTTTACGCTCATCGCCTGAAGGGAGATAACACCCAATAACTGCTCAATAACACCCAATAACTGCTCAATAACACCCAATAACTGCCCAATAACACCAAATTGTTGACTTTGGAAGTACAAAATAACAATTTAGTTGAATTCAAAAGCCTCGCAACGTTGAGCCCAAATCAGAGTTTTACGCTCACTCGCCTGAAGGGAGATAACTCGTGTATGTGATTTTTGTTTACAAGAAATTAATGTATGCAGCGATGCTTCTTAAATTCAACTAAATTGTTATTTTGTGTTTCCAAAGTCAACATTTTGTAGTTATTGGTTGTTATTTTGGAGTTATTGGGCAGTTATTGGGTGTTATTGGGCAGTTATTGGGTGTTATTGGGCAATTATTGGGTGTTATTGGGTAATTCGACGCGCCCGTATTTAGTTCTATATGATGCCATTAAATGCCTACATCTAGCCTCGGTTGTATGACGAAGCCCGCCATTGGAACTACTTTCAAGGTCCCGATTTACCAACGGCGTTGCCCATGACGACGCCTTTGAAGAATGTTTTATCATACAAATATTTCAAAGTCTGAAGCTGTGATTCTTTCAAGCAGAGAGAGGAAGAGAAATGGGATTTAACGTCCACTTAACACAAACTAGTCATTTCGGGACTAACATATGGTTTAATTTTATTTCAACAACTCGCTTGCGCGTAGGGGTGTTTAGCAGTGGGAGGAAACCGGAGGACCCGGAGAAAACCCACGAGGTTGGACAGGCGACCCTACTCCTTGTCACGTACAACCGGGGATTCGAAACCACGCCAGTCGACTCAATGACAGATTTTATGATACAGCGCGCGCACGCTAACCATTCAGCCATCCACCCACCCCTCTTTCAAGCAGAGCCTCGTCTAAAGATGTGGTCGTGCGCGGCAATGTCGGGCGAAGCACGACCCGCGAGCACCGTAGGTGCGAGCCGCGCGATCGTGAGAGCCCGCGCGGGGGGTATGGGGGGCCCTCCCCCTGAAAATTTTGAAAATTGACTCCCTTAGACTTAAAAAATAGTTTCGGAGATTTGATACACGATTAGTTTTGGCATCTTGTTAAACCATGGATTGATTAATACACTGTAAAATCGAGATCAAAACACCGCTGACAGAAATATACCCATAAAACAATCAGAAAGACGATTTTGTAAACCTAAATGTCAGTGATTTTCAAAACGTATGTATGTTGTCGCCCAGTCTTCAACTTTTGGGCTCAGTAGGCGGCACAGTTTGGCAAGTGCGTGGCGGCGGCGCCGCCTCACCATGTTAAACCAGGCTCTGCTTTCAAGTTTATCCGATTTTCTTCAAACAAGGACAACTTTGCAATGAAAATTCTACACGCTTCGAACGACGCAATTTTGATAACTTCTTTTTAAAAGCGGCAAGTTTTCAAATAAGTAAACCGGTGCCGCATCGCCATTGTAAAGGTGTGGATACATATCGCCACTCGGCAAACAGCAGATTCCAGTACCCTACATCTAGATGTACAATCTGTTTCACAGAGAGTTACGGAAGTGTTCTAATATCTCTGTAAAAGTTGACCGCTTTCAACACGTGGCTTCACAGCACGCGGCGTCAATCATTGGCTCAATGGCGCGTGCATTGTTTACATAAGACGTTACTAGTTCGGGCAGAATGGTGCCTTGTACTCGTTGTAATACCCATTTACACTAAATAGGAAATAATTTTTACCTACAAATACATAAAGGAGCTAAATCGCTAATATTTGGGACCTAGATATTGACCCAAATGGGTCGCAACGCATATAATAATGTAATTTGATTGTATATAAACTGATTTACATTCAATTGTTTCCGTTTTGACTCTTTGATTTCAAATCAGTTATGTCCAGCGAAATACGGCCTGTGTCTCAACCCCATAGCAATTTCTAGCGTCTGGTTATTCGAGTCTATTGAGCAGGTTCTCCAGTCGATTATGTCTAGCCTCGTTCTTTCTGGTCACTTGTTGCAAATGACGCTAAAACGCACTATGGTACACGATTCGTGTACCAATGGTAAAATGTTTATTCTGTCTTAAATATTGGATATCAGAAGCCTGTCTTTTCCTGGTATATGACTTTGGATGATTGAGTTAGAGACTTAGCTACTTTAAACATGCATTATGCAAGAGCAAAATCTGCTTATTACAAGTCTTTCTTTAGGCCTGAAATGTTATCTAAATTATCAATTAGACATTAATTAACTTATCCAGACCATAATCATCTCTCTATGTCAAGGCTAGCCTTCGATGTTGGCTGGATTAGATTCCTATATGCCGCTTAACGGCAATTGATAATTAAATCAAAACAGTGGATAATCGAGACTATGCTGTTTATATTAATGATTTTAGTAATGATGACCGAGACTATGCGAAAATTTCACCCGCTTCGTTCTCGGCTCATAGTGGATCAATTTGACTGAAATTTTCAGCAAATTACCTTTACACTATCTAGTTTTTAACTATTATAGCGAGAACTGTCATCTCTTTATCTTATCTCCCATAATGTATCTTTAAACGTCTTTATTTATTTTTCTAATACATAAAAAAATGTTTTAGAATTTAGTTTGTCGGTGGAAAAAAGTTAATATTTGTGACTCATTAAGTCGCATCGATCTCATCCTTATTAGTGATTGTAGCGGCCAAGCGAATATTCACTTCTGATCAGGCCTGGAGGTCGGGTGTTCGATCCCTGCATTGGCCGAGAAATTCCATCCTGATTTTCCGGCGCGGTTTCCCCTTGTCGGATCAGCTGTCTAGTCGTCGGATGGGACGAAAAACGGAGGTCCCGTGTACATATTGGCGTGCACGTAAAAGATCCCTTGACAGTTGGAATTCGATATAAGAGTAGACCATAGTGTCCGAGCAAAATTTCCCTCATCAGCACACTGTATGGCGTATGCCCGTCTTCATTAGCCCAGTTAAACCCCATATATATTTCATTTCATTTCATTTACTTCTGATCAGTGTGCTAGATGTATGTGACCAAGTGATCAAGTCACAAAATTATAGTCTTGCTTGGTCCGGTCGGATGTCACATGTTGCCTCACTTTCACATGTCCGCCATTTTATTATCAAACTTGTAGCAACAACAGTTTTGGAACACCCAGTCAGAGGTGATTTAACAATGTTTATTTTGTATATTTTATTCGCTTTCAGTGCTATTAACTAAGACCTGTACAGGTAGATTTATATTTGTGGTGCAAATACTTAATATTAAGTCAATATATTCTCATTTATTGAAAGAAGCACTCAACTCATGTCCCGCGCTGTTCACGATCTTTGACCTATGTCAGATTTCTTGATTTTATGCAGAATTGGTAATAGTTTGTATGACAATTGTTGTCTTCTGCTGTCATACAAGATTCTAAATAATGTAGGTTGTTTGTTGATGAGGGTTAATTGTGATATTAGACGGTATTTTATTTATCCTGAAGTCATATGTAAAGACATGTTATGAATTGAAAGCCACGCGTTTTATGATTGAGGGGAGACGACTCTTCTATGACCCCTGTTTCATCATTAGCCATGTGTTTGGAATTTGTAGTATACAGGCTTAAATAGGCAGGTTACCGGTGTGCATGTCGTATAGTTACTTTTTGAGTGTAATTCTCAATATTTATTTGAATCCCTAAATAGTCAATTAATTATTAATACTATAATGGTGTTAGGCTTTTGACTTTATGTACATGTAAACGTCAAAGGGTTTTCAAGCACTCTTATACAGGGACATGAGGCATCTGCAGCAATTGATGTTTGTCAACCCTCCTTCACATTGTTGGATTATGTAAATATTTGTTAACAAATTAAGAGCTTTGGGTGGCCGAGTGGTCTGACGCATGAGCTTGGATCATATGTTCTGTCAATGACTCGGGTGGCATGCTTTGGATCATGCACTTGTACATGTATGTGACAGGATTGGGGTCGTCTGCCTAACCTCAGGGGTTTTATCAGGGCATTCTGGTTCCTACAAATGTACCATTGTTAAGATCCCCTATGTGCAGGTGAATTTATAATGCGTGTCCTGGAGTGGCCCAGATCATGTTGAGCGGTTGTTAGCCCCATCTCTTTTATCAAGTCAACTTCATGATGTAACAAATTTATTAATGTTGTTTTTTTGTACTCTCAGGGTTGTTACTCCACCCTTTTTTTTGTATGTTTAATAGATTTAAAAATTAAATCTTATTGTATTAACAACATGGTTTTTGTTAATTCCCCTTGGTCACACGTAGAACAGTGATTCTCAACCAGTGTGTCGCGAGATCTTCCTAAGTGTGTCGCGATATTTTGAACGGCGCGCTAAGAAAATGCGAAAAGCGACTTGATCCCAATTGAGTATTCTCTGGTGACTACTGGTACGTTCATAGCTGTGTTTTTCTTTATTTAGTTTGAGTTTCTATGTGGCTATAACTAGTCTCTGTCTACGGTTGTATGCCGTCTACGACTTGCCATATTTTTATTTTGCAAAATTCAAATATATATTTCGGGGGGTTAGATGGCCGAATGGTTAGCACGTGCGTGCTGTGTCATACGGCCTGTCATTGAGTCAACTGGTGTAGTTTCGAATCCCCGGTTGTACGTGACAAGGAGAAGGATCGCCTGTCCAATCTCGTGGGTTTTCTCCGGGTCCTCCGGTTTCCTCCCACTGCTAAAGACCCCTACGCGCAAACGAATTAATGAAATAAAATTAAACCATATGTTGGTCCCGAAATTACCTAGTTTGTGTCGAGTGGACGTTAAACCCCATTTCTCTCTCTCTCTCAAATATTTTTCATGTATATTTAGCCAGGTGTGCCGCTATTTTGTCATGTGTTCCAAGGTGTGCCGTTGCCCAAAAAGTGTTAAGAACCACTGATATTGTAGAGTAACGGAATCTACCGAGGTTTGCCGAGTGGCTCATCAAAATAAGGGATGGAACTCTTGTTTGTAAACGGACTGAGACTAGCAATTATTTGCCCATTGACTTCAATGTTAAATGACTGTAACATCACAGTCTGTAGCTTTTTGCTCAACATTCCGTTGGTTCCAATCTTTATAGGAACAATGGGGACCACATTTGGCAATATCCTCATCATAAATTTGTAGGGGGTTGACCATTTAGATTTTTTGGTACAGGAATTTGAAGTTGACTCGGGTGAAAATCTCATTTCCGACACAATGATTGCTCTGCAGAAAGACACTTTACACCCCCTATCCCTCCGCTGTAATATCATCAGTATTACCCAAAACTGCTATGAAATTGCAAATTTGATCCCTTTTCTCCAATTCTAGACCAAACAGTCAACCCAAAAGTGCAAGAAGAGGGGAGAAAAAAAATAAGGGAAAAGTTGTCTATTTATAACTCGCACTACATCATGAAATAAGGGGAAATAATTACTAGTCTTAGTCCAAACTGGTCTCGAGCCACTATGGTGGCCTATCGTTACCATTCCGGGGCCTGTTTTACGAAATTTTAACTAAGATAAAAATCCAAATTTTAGTAATTTGATTGGATAATATTAGATTGATTTTAGTGCTTAGCCAATCAAAATTGAAGTATCTACTAAAATTTGGATTTTATCTTTAGTTAGAATTTCGTTAAACAGGGCTCAGGAATTTAACAAAATTTCTTTAAAAACCTAAATAAAACTAAATGAAAATGAAAAACAAAGTCAAAATCCAAAGTAAAATAGAAACAAAAGTAAAAGTAAAATCAAAAGCAAAGGTTAAAGCAAAAGTTAAATCAAAAGTAAAAAGTAAATCAAAAGTAAAAGTAAATCAAAAGTAAAACCAGAATGTAAATTAAAATCAAAACACAAATGACAACTAAAATCATTTTTAAAAGTAATTTGAAATGTAAAACAAAAGTAAAAGTGAAACACAAAATAAACATATTTGTCGGCCTATCGCTATCATTCAACTTTTCTTTTTTCACGCAAAAGTAAAATAAAAATTTTGGGTCGGCCTATCATTCATGTCACGTGATTAACCTATAGCCTAAACAGGAAAGCAGGTTAAGTAAACAGGGTTATTAAGTCTACCTTTTATTTCATAGATATCCTAAAAATATGGTGGCCGATAGTGGCCATGTTAAATATCACCCTTTTCATAACGCGACAACACATCACGGCAGTATTGACGCAATCACACGACACTATACTCCGTCGTAACATCGTGTTATTTTTGTCGTAACATCGACTTGTCGGCTTAGTCTCTTTCTACAAGTCACAAAAATACAGCTGTACTCATTACATCATATAAGTAGCAGATTAGATAAATATAAAAGAGATAATAGGAAAACGTTGATTAATTTGTTTTCCCAAAATAAAGAAGCATTCTGCGCCCAAAAGTAAATTATATTTGGTGTTATATTCAAAAAATCTAGATTTACAATAACAGGACCAGAGTGAGTTACCTATGTTAATTCCTTGAATAAGAAGTGGTGTCGGAGGTATCGAACAAGTAAGCATACATTACCTCGTGTACGACACCCACCAATACTTATAGGTGACTGGAGCGATAGTTTAGAAGGGATTTCAGAAGATTTCACATTTGTTTTATTACGAGGTGGGAAGGGAATTATAGAAAGCCTCAAATCAAGCCACAATCTTTAAAATCACTGCATTGGTGTAGCAGGTGCAGGAGAGGGTTTTTTTGTTCGTTTTTTTAAGGTGCAGAAAACTATTCATCCGTTTGGCATCACAAATGGGATCGGGGCCTAGATAATTAAAAATAGGCCCAATATTGCCTTCAACTATGAACACATTCTAAAAGTCCTACAAAAAAAAACAATTGCGTAGTTTTCAATGTGGATTTCCACGCTATTGGCATACACTTGCAGGCCTTCACGTAAAAGGAGCGCGATCGCTCTCGCTCTCCTGGGCGCGCCTGGATGTCGGTCAAGGTGCGCTTTTTATCGCTCGCCTCTGTAGCTAATTTGACTCTCCTCAACGAAGACGAATGTTAACTTGGGTCTCGGATCTCCATCGCTGTTTATTCTTTACTAGTCTTACCGTCGGATATATGAAATAGCCAGCGGTTATACCATAGAAATATGCGTCTGGTTAAGTTAGTCTATTTTGTGGTTGTGCTTAATATAACAGGACAGTTCATTGGGTCACTTGACGAAAATAGCCAATCAGAATGACCCTTCTAGTTGACGACTGTCGTCTTGGCAACTCTGACTTCCTGTCTCGTAAAAAAATGAATGGTTGCATGCTCTCAAATATTCTGAATGAAGTCTCTCATTCTTTCTACTTTATACCTACGTTTCGTTACGTTTTTGGTATGGAACTGTTTGGATAAAATGTCTGCCTCCGCTGAAAGTGACACAACTGATACACCAAGTCCAAATTCTCGTTCAGTCCAACTGAAAACATTTTTGCGGTGGAATACGGGGGGACAAATCGGTGTCAAGACGGACACAAATGGGCATCTTACAAGCGTTTGGTGTAAACTTTGTGCCAAACATTGTGAACAAGTTATCAAAGACACGAAAATATGAGGACAGGCAAAATCTGATGTGCAAAAATATATTTGTGGAATTGACTTTATAACTAAACATAATGTGATGAGACATTTGGGCTCAGCAGCCCACAAGACTGCAATTGAATATGAAAAACTTTGTTCTGGAACAGATAAAATAATTGATCTTGATCTAGATGATCCGGACACTGACAGCAATAATAGTAAACCCCATTTTGAAATCCCCCTACGACAACCAACGATTACAAAATCATTTCAAGACCTGTCAAATGATGCATATAGAAAACTTTTAGATGCAGCTTACACACTGGCTGTAGATGGATTGCCATTTAGCCATTTTAAAACTTTAGTTCAAGTTATGAAAAACTGTGGAGCAAGACTGATATCGAAATATGATAATTCCAACCGGGCTAGGGAATTTGTAAATTTCCTAGCCGATGCTGTTCGGGAAAAAATTACCAATGTTCTTAACTCAGTTACTTGCTTTTCTTTACTCACGGATGGGTCCCAAGCACGAAAAACGGGGAGTGAAAAAGAACTAGCATTTATCAAAGTCATTCACGACGGTAATCCAACTTTTTTGTGTGCTGCACTGTGTAACATTGATGAATACGGAGATGCAACTTCTGATAATTTGAAAACATCCATAGATGATATATTTCTGAAGACTCTTAATCTCAGTAAGGATGACTATGAACGAAAGTTAATAAGCTTTACAAGTGACGGCGCCTCTGTTAATACAGGCACTAAAAATGGTCTCATAAAACAAATGAAAGATGATAACAGGAACTGGTTGATTGACATTCACTGTGTTCTGCATAGACTTGAATTATCTGTAAAAGATTCACTTATGAAAAAAAGTGAATTTTGTGGTGTGTTCGATTTTATGGTTTTAATTTATTACCAGTTTAAGAGATCAGGAAAACTTACAAGACATTTTACGAAAATGTCAGAGATTTATGATACAAGAGTGCTGAGATTTCCAAAGGTGAACGGCACAAGATTTATTAGCCACCAGATTCGTGGACTAAACATTTTGATTGAAAATTGGGTAATTTTAGGCTTGACATTAGAAGACTGTATCAAAACGAACAAATGTGCCAAGACCACAGCCAAATTACAAGGAATTCTAAATAAACTTAAAGATTATTCATTTCTGTGTTTATGTGTGAACTACTATAATATTATTAAACCTTTGTCAGCTCTCTCTTTGTGTTTGGAGAAAGGTGATGTTATTGTGACTGAGGTGATGCCTTCATTAGAGAGAACAGTAAGTGAATTAGAAGAGTTGAAAGACAGTTTTATTCAAGAAAATCAAAAAGATTACCAGAAAGAAGTTTGTGAAGCAAGGGGTTTTCATTTAAATTCATCGGTATCAGCCTTTGGTAATTATCTTTCTTTATTTGTCTTTCTGCATCTGGAGACATTCTAATGACAAAAGTATAGCAGTTGCTACTAATTAATGAATGATAATATTGGTAATCTCAGTGTTAGTATATCAGACCAGTAAGCAAGGTCTTTCAAAAACATGTGAGTAAATTTCCTAGTATTCATGTCTATGATTGAAGGAAGAAAGCCTCTTTGAGTACATTCTTGACTGACGTTTAGTGACAGTAGGCTTAATTTGATACATGTATATATATACTATTCAAAAAAAGTAGGGGATATTTGATTTTGGGGGCATAATACTAAAATATGCAAATGACTACGAAAAAAGTCACTATAGAACCTAACAGAAGAAACATTTCCAGTTACATGTGACGCCCAAACGCACCAATAGCTACCGCATGGAATGCAGGTGATGCTTGGGATCATCATGGGGGTCCAACCCAAGATTTGCACGACTCTGACTTTGAATGTTACAGTCATTGTGGCATTGAATTCCAGGGTGGAAACATCAGTTTAATTGTTTTAGTGACCAGAAAACAAATTTTGATATGCGTCGGCTTACCCAAAATGAAAGGTTACGTGCCCTTGGCATGCTACAGATCGGCACAACACAGGCGGTTGTGGCGCGGACGATGAATGTTTCTCAGTCTGTCATAAGCAGGCTATGGTCCAGATACCGTGATACACAATCTGTACAGGACAGACCACGCTCAGGTCGACCAAGGGCGACAACTCAAGCCCAGGATCGATTTATCCGTACCTTGGCCTTGAGAAATCGTGTCATCACAGCAAATCAGATCAGCGCTCGTCTTCAAACAGACACTGGAGTGAGAGTGAGTGGCCAGACGATTCGGAATCGACTGCATAGGGGTCACCTTCGCGCCCGACGTCCTCGCGTGATCCCTTGTTTGAGAGATCATCACATTCATGCAATACGTCGTTGGTGTAGGGATCGTCAACACTGGGATAATCGAGGCTGGAGCAATGTGATGTTTTCAGATGAGTCAAGGTTCACTGTTGATTTTTTGGACAGACGTAGGAGGGTGTGGCGTCGGCGAAACGAGCGCTTCCAAGACGTTAACGTCATCAGACATGATCGATTTGGGGGTGGTTCTGTTATGGTGTGGGGAGGCATCACTGTTGCTGGAAGAACGGCTTTACATGTTGTTGCAGGGCGTGTTACAGGCCAGTACTACCGGGACAACATCTTGGCAGTCCATGTTGTGCCGTTCGCACGACGTCATGGCCGCCGTTTCATCTTCCAGGATGACAACGCAAGATGTCACAGGGCCAGGATCGTTACAGGTTACCTCCAACAACAGAACATCACCACATTACCATGGCCAGCACTGAGTCCCGACCTCTCCCCCATCGAGCATGTCTGGGACATGCTTGGACAGAGGTTACGTCAACGTCAACAACGTCCTGCCAATGTCCAAGAACTTGCTGCTGCGTTGCAACAGGAATGGGACAATCTGGACCAAAATGACCTTAGACGTCTCATTAGGAGTATGCCACGTCGGATCAATGCTTGTTTGGCAAACAGAGGAGGATTTACCCTTTACTGACTTGGTTGTGATGCTGTGGTAACTTTGCTGTTTGACCCCGGGTATCATTTTACCCTTATAATGGTCAGTCTGTGCCTTACTTAGTCTAACGAACATTTGGAATAAATCGATGAATGTGAACTTCATTTCATTTTGTCATTTGTTTCTTCGTCAGTTTCATTAGGTGACTTTAATAACACTTAAAAATCAAATATCCCCTACTTTTTTTGAATAGTATATATTAAAAAGTTCTATCAATTTATATTTTTCAGGCACCACAGAATATTCTATAAGTAAAGATGGTCTAAGATTGAATCATGGTAAACTGCAGGCTGATAAACAGGAGAAAACTGTTGTTACACTGACTGGAATTAAGAATATTGAGAAATCGTCATCCCCTGGTTGTGGTAGAGGCAACAGTACTGCAATTGATTCTGTTATAAATTGTTTAACGCAGAGATTTTCTTCCTTTAGGAACCAGGATATTTACAAATACATGTTCTGGGTAGACCCAGCTAACTGGTCTGATATAGACACTGAGATGGATGCTATCCGTTGGTGTTATGAACGTTTCCAAGTTACACTAGACTATGGAAAGATTGATTTTAGCAGAGTTAAAAGTGAATGGAAAGATTTCAAGAGAACTGTAGGTCATTTCTATTCAGGTGTTACAAGTGCTGTTAAACTGTGGCAAAAGATTTGTGCTTATAGGAAGTTACAATTTCCAAACTTAATTAAAATTGTGGAAATTTTGTTGTGTTTGGGTCCCAGTAACAGTACTGTAGAGGCAGGCTTCAGTCATTTAACTGGGATGCTGTCGGATAGAAGGCTTAGCCTTCATCACAGTTCTATGGAAGACTTGTTATTGATTAAAATCAACAATCTTGTATGGACAGAAAAAGAAAGAAATGCAATTCTAGAATCGGCTGTAAAGTCTTATATAAGTAGTAAAAGAAGAAAATGTGAATTGGACCCCCCTGCATCAACCAGTACAATGGAAGTTCATGATCATGATCATGATCATACAGATACATGTATGGACACTGAGTGTGACAACAGTGATACAGATGATGAAATTGATGAGCATGATAATTGTTCAGACATTGACAGTTTGTGGGACAGACTCATTGATTGACTTGTAAATGAACAGTCTGCCAGTTGTTGTTAATTACTTGACTGTGGTTTTTAGTTTATGTGGAAATGTCTCTTATTAAAAGCTGACTCTTTTACTCTTCATAACACAAGACACGTGTTCCTAACTTTTATTTATGGTTCATTTTAACACATGATAATAAATACTCATTCTTGATGACAATTAATACTTTTATCTTCTCATATAATCCACCATAGACCAGATATTTAGGCCCCTAATCAAAAATGAAAAAAAGCTCTCCTTAAGAGATTCAGGAGAGTTTTCTCAGGAGAGCGATTTACCCTTTTTGCAATTTTAGGAGAGCTTTTTTTGACTCTCCAAGTATTTATTCACGTGAAGGCCTGCACTTGCCATATCTGTTCAAACAGTGGCTCAGATATACCACAAATCGACTCTAGCATGTACCAAAGGCCCTAGATACGAGAACGTAGCTAAAAACGTTGAGATATACTGATGTGTTTGTTTTTAGCTACGATTGATGCCTTTAGTTCCAAGTGGCAAACTCAATTTCTTTATTAATGCATGTATCATCTTTAAAATAGATAAGTTTATGATATTATGATTAATTAAACTTACAGAGGCCAATGTAGTGGCACAACTGTCGCCTAACTCCAAATATTCGCGTTTAAATTAATGAAGCGTTGTTTTTGTCTGACATTTCACCGCCATCGAAATCCATTCATAGTTACTGTGCTTTCAATTGTCCTTTTGATTGGCTGTTATAAAAGCCTTATATTTAGCCCCGCCTTCATGATGACAGCCTATCGTTTAAAAAGATGGCGGTCCTAGTAACGGCTTAACGCCTCGATTTTAAAAACGACGATTTGTAACCGTTTCAGGTAGGATTATATGCTTAATTGTAGTTGGGTGTTGTAGAAATATTATAAATAACAATAATCAATCGTTGTTTTGATTAAAACTATTGTCAATTTTGTTTAAAAATGCCGGGTGTGAATCACTCCCGCAGGTGCAACGTTATAGGTAATGGGCTCCTGTCTTATCTCGAAACACGGAGGGTTGAGAGATTAAGGTTTGTTATCTACAAAGGCCCAAGAACCGAAAATATCCCCCCCCCCCGCACCACACACACACCCACACACACACACACACACACACACCCACACACACACACACACACACCCGCCCCTTTAACGATGCATACCGTGGGTTTTTATGCCACCCCAGGGATATCATTCCCCATACAAAATTACGTGTCACCACGCCCCTGGCAGAGAGGCCTGTACGCGAGACACAAGAAGCGAGCGTGGCACCGCGTGCATGATGCCTTGCGGAAACAAATTATTGACAAAAAAGTAGGTGTGGCCAAAACATCAATTGGTGCCTTCCTTAGTATATAATAAAGAATCAATATGCCAGGTTCAAGGGTGATCCAACTTAGCACTACCCCTTCGCTAAAATCAATTGTTGTTTTCGTGAGAGTAGAGGCGATCAGTGTGTCAAGTTTCATGATAATCGGTTAAGAATTGCGGCCGTAAAATATCGAAATGAAATTAAATGGGGTTTAACGTCCTACTGTTCTGCTTAGACTGGGCTGATGAAGACGGGCATACGCCATACTATGAGTAAAATATTGCCAGGACAGCGGCACTATATGGCCATTTTTATATATATATTAAACAATGATTATATGTGTTATCTAGAAGTCTATAGTGTTATGTTTTCTCGGTTTATTCCCACGAAGGCGCAGTTATTGACCGTAACGGATTAAACGAGGTCGTTTTCGACGACTTCGCGGGAATCCAGCTCCTAGGGATTAAAATGGATTAAAATTGTAACAATGGTGTTATAGATTGTTATGATAAGAATTTACACTTTCATAATCCCCAATGTAACTAATTAACCAACATTTTAGAATCATTTTTGGCATAAGAAATGAAAACATAACTACACTATAACAAAAATTAATTTAATTTCGCCAAATAAGACACCCTGTCTAAATACTCGACTAAAGTCAATTTCTCTTCCTCGTGTCTTCCTTTTAATTCCTGGAGCTGGCTTTGGATTTGAGCATATTTATATCTCTTCCTTGGTAGTTAATATTTTGTTCTTGTTGGAAAAATGTGATCATTTCAAAAACATTCGGATGGGCTTTTCCAACTATCTTCTTCATTCTTGCATGCCATCCTTCCAGAGTGTTGTTGGTTCAGAATGAACATAAATTCATAAAATCTTTAACGCCCTTAATTGGATCCTAATAGCAACATGCCTGTCTTCAAACGAAAGCCGACAAATCGATATCTGCGCCTTCGTGGGAAGGTTTAATTTTGGTCACGCTCTGTAACTGCGCCTTCGTGGGAATACACCGTTTTCTCGTAATCATTTTTTTAAATACCTTAATTGTCCATACCTTTCTAACCAGAGTAATTATTTTTAGATTAGGGTAAAAGATAACTCCTACGTGTTAAAATGATTTATATAATTAGTGAATAGTTATTATCATCTAATGATTGATGTTTTGTCATATATATAGTGTAACCAATATATGCATTATACTGTTATAGTCAATATGATACTGTGTATTAGTCGTGTTTATATTCTTATGATTTGAATGCAATATTTGTAAACCGCCAGTAGGAATACATTTAAATGTCTCTTACAGATATAGCCAGTGGCTGGAATTTGCACGGTAGGCCAGCGAATGGGAGAGAGAGAGAAATGGGGTTTAACGTCCACTCGACACAAACTAGGTCATTTCGGGACTAACATATGGTTTAATTTTATTTACATAATTCGCTTGCGCGTAGGGGTCTTTAGCAGTGAGAGGACCCGGAGAAAACCCACGAGGTTGGACAGGCGACCCTACTCCTTGCCACGTACAACCGGGGATTCGAAACCACGCCAGTCGACTCAATGATAGACTGTATGATACAGCGCGCGCACGCTAACCATTCAGCCCCCCCCCCCCCAGCGAATGGGACTGCGGCCAATAATCAGCGATCAAATCGCTGACATTGGCAAGCTACGTTCCGATGGCATAGAACCTCCTATCAGGAAAGAGGTCATCACTCCCGCAGGTGCAACGTTATAGGTAATGGGCTCCTGTCTTATCTCGAAACACGGAGGGTTGAGAGATTAAGGTTTGTTATCTACAAAGGCCCAAGAACCGAAAATATCCCCCCCCCGCACCACACACACACCCACACACACACACACACACACACACACACACCCGCCCCTTTAACGATGCATACCGTGGGTTTTTATGCCACCCCAGGGATATCATTCCCCATACAAAATTACGTGTCACCACGCCCCTGGCAGAGAGGCCTGTACGCGAGACACAAGAAGCGAGCGTGGCACCGCGTGCATGATGCCTTGCGGAAACAAATTATTGACAAAAAAGTAGGTGTGGCCAAAACATCAATTGGTGCCTTCCTTAGTATATAATAAAGAATCAATATGCCAGGTTCAAGGGTGATCCAACTTAGCACTACCCCTTCGCTAAAATCAATTGTTGTTTTCGTGAGAGTAGAGGCGATCAGTGTGTCAAGTTTCATGATAATCGGTTAAGAATTGCGGCCGTAAAATATCGAAATGAAATTAAATGGGGTTTAACGTCCTACTGTTCTGCTTAGACTGGGCTGATGAAGACGGGCATACGCCATACTATGAGTAAAATATTGCCAGGACAGCGGCACTATATGGCCATTTTTATATATATATTAAACAATGATTATATGTGTTATCTAGAAGTCTATAGTGTTATGTTTTCTCGGTTTATTCCCACGAAGGCGCAGTTATTGACCGTAACGGATTAAACGAGGTCGTTTTCGACGACTTCGCGGGAATCCAGCTCCTAGGGATTAAAATGGATTAAAATTGTAACAATGGTGTTATAGATTGTTATGATAAGAATTTACACTTTCATAATCCCCAATGTAACTAATTAACCAACATTTTAGAATCATTTTTGGCATAAGAAATGAAAACATAACTACACTATAACAAAAATTAATTTAATTTCGCCAAATAAGACACCCTGTCTAAATACTCGACTAAAGTCAATTTCTCTTCCTCGTGTCTTCCTTTTAATTCCTGGAGCTGGCTTTGGATTTGAGCATATTTATATCTCTTCCTTGGTAGTTAATATTTTGTTCTTGTTGGAAAAATGTGATCATTTCAAAAACATTCGGATGGGCTTTTCCAACTATCTTCTTCATTCTTGCATGCCATCCTTCCAGAGTGTTGTTGGTTCAGAATGAACATAAATTCATAAAATCTTTAACGCCCTTAATTGGATCCTAATAGCAACATGCCTGTCTTCAAACGAAAGCCGACAAATCGATATCTGCGCCTTCGTGGGAAGGTTTAATTTTGGTCACGCTCTGTAACTGCGCCTTCGTGGGAATACACCGTTTTCTCGTAATCATTTTTTTAAATACCTTAATTGTCCATACCTTTCTAACCAGAGTAATTATTTTTAGATTAGGGTAAAAGATAACTCCTACGTGTTAAAATGATTTATATAATTAGTGAATAGTTATTATCATCTAATGATTGATGTTTTGTCATATATATAGTGTAACCAATATATGCATTATACTGTTATAGTCAATATGATACTGTGTATTAGTCGTGTTTATATTCTTATGATTTGAATGCAATATTTGTAAACCGCCAGTAGGAATACATTTAAATGTCTCTTACAGATATAGCCAGTGGCTGGAATTTGCACGGTAGGCCAGCGAATGGGAGAGAGAGAGAAATGGGGTTTAACGTCCACTCGACACAAACTAGGTCATTTCGGGACTAACATATGGTTTAATTTTATTTACATAATTCGCTTGCGCGTAGGGGTCTTTAGCAGTGAGAGGACCCGGAGAAAACCCACGAGGTTGGACAGGCGACCCTACTCCTTGCCACGTACAACCGGGGATTCGAAACCACGCCAGTCGACTCAATGATAGACTGTATGATACAGCGCGCGCACGCTAACCATTCAGCCCCCCCCCCCCAGCGAATGGGACTGCGGCCAATAATCAGCGATCAAATCGCTGACATTGGCAAGCTACGTTCCGATGGCATAGAACCTCCTATCAGGAAAGAGGTCATCACTCCCGCAGGTGCAACGTTATAGGTAATGGGCTCCTGTCTTATCTCGAAACACGGAGGGTTGAGAGATTAAGGTTTGTTATCTACAAAGGCCCAAGAACCGAAAATATCCCCCCCCCCGCACCACACACACACACCCACACACACACACACACACACCCGCCCCTTTAACGATGCATACCGTGGGTTTTTATGCCACCCCAGGGATATCATTCCCCATACAAAATTACGTGTCACCACGCCCCTGGCAGAGAGGCCTGTACGCGAGACACAAGAAGCGAGCGTGGCACCGCGTGCATGATGCCTTGCGGAAACAAATTATTGACAAAAAAGTAGGTGTGGCCAAAACATCAATTGGTGCCTTCCTTAGTATATAATAAAGAATCAATATGCCAGGTTCAAGGGTGATCCAACTTAGCACTACCCCTTCGCTAAAATCAATTGTTGTTTTCGTGAGAGTAGAGGCGATCAGTGTGTCAAGTTTCATGATAATCGGTTAAGAATTGCGGCCGTAAAATATCGAAATGAAATTAAATGGGGTTTAACGTCCTACTGTTCTGCTTAGACTGGGCTGATGAAGACGGGCATACGCCATACTATGAGTAAAATATTGCCAGGACAGCGGCACTATATGGCCATTTTTATATATATATTAAACAATGATTATATGTGTTATCTAGAAGTCTATAGTGTTATGTTTTCTCGGTTTATTCCCACGAAGGCGCAGTTATTGACCGTAACGGATTAAACGAGGTCGTTTTCGACGACTTCGCGGGAATCCAGCTCCTAGGGATTAAAATGGATTAAAATTGTAACAATGGTGTTATAGATTGTTATGATAAGAATTTACACTTTCATAATCCCCAATGTAACTAATTAACCAACATTTTAGAATCATTTTTGGCATAAGAAATGAAAACATAACTACACTATAACAAAAATTAATTTAATTTCGCCAAATAAGACACCCTGTCTAAATACTCGACTAAAGTCAATTTCTCTTCCTCGTGTCTTCCTTTTAATTCCTGGAGCTGGCTTTGGATTTGAGCATATTTATATCTCTTCCTTGGTAGTTAATATTTTGTTCTTGTTGGAAAAATGTGATCATTTCAAAAACATTCGGATGGGCTTTTCCAACTATCTTCTTCATTCTTGCATGCCATCCTTCCAGAGTGTTGTTGGTTCAGAATGAACATAAATTCATAAAATCTTTAACGCCCTTAATTGGATCCTAATAGCAACATGCCTGTCTTCAAACGAAAGCCGACAAATCGATATCTGCGCCTTCGTGGGAAGGTTTAATTTTGGTCACGCTCTGTAACTGCGCCTTCGTGGGAATACACCGTTTTCTCGTAATCATTTTTTTAAATACCTTAATTGTCCGTACCTTTCTAACCAGAGTAATTAATTTTAGATTAGGGTAAAAGATAACTCCTACGTGTTAAAATGATTTATATAATTAGTGAATAGTTATTATCATCTAATGATTGATGTTTTGTCATATATATAGTGTAACCAATATATGCATTATACTGTTATAGTCAATATGATACTGTGTATTAGTCGTGTTTATATTCTTATGATTTGAATGCAATATTTGTAAACCGCCAGTAGGAATACATTTAAATGTCTCTTACAGATATAGCCAGTGGCTGGAATTTGCACGGTAGGCCAGCGAATGGGAGAGAGAGAGAAATGGGGTTTAACGTCCACTCGACACAAACTAGGTCATTTCGGGACTAACATATGGTTTAATTTTATTTACATAATTCGCTTGCGCGTAGGGGTCTTTAGCAGTGAGAGGACCCGGAGAAAACCCACGAGGTTGGACAGGCGACCCTACTCCTTGCCACGTACAACCGGGGATTCGAAACCACGCCAGTCGACTCAATGATAGACTGTATGATACAGCGCGCGCACGCTAACCATTCAGCCCCCCCCCCCCCCCAGCGAATGGGACTGCGGCCAATAATCAGCGATCAAATCGCTGACATTGGCAAGCTACGTTCCGATGGCATAGAACCTCCTATCAGGAAAGAGGTCAGTACCCTTTCTGTTTCAGAGAGTACGGCAATCTAGGATTGCCGAAAAAGACAAGTTGCAGATTCAAGAACAAGTACGGCGAATGTTATTCCCCCGAAAAAGTAAAGACACTTTGATAGTACGGTGAAGGCTGTTCATCCGAAAAAGGACAGTTAACAGAAATAAACGCATTGGAGCTGTAAATACTGATATAATATATTTTAAAAGTTTTGTTACATAAAAGTTTGAACACTGAACGAGTCTGTCTTATTCCTACGGTGAAGCTTATCTAATTAATTTTAGCAAACACCGTTAATGACCACTTTTTAGCTGGTCCTTACACCCTTCCGAAGTTCCGTTTACCGGTGGCTCATGATCAGTCAGGAATTGATACCAAGCTCCCCATCAAGGGCGTGGATTTGTCATAACTTTGAGGGGGTGGGGGCGGGCGAACCCTGGAACCTGGAACATTTCATTACCAAACGAAATAAATAATTACGAACAGTTTACTGTACAAGTGTTATTTCGATGAAGGCTGTAACTAGGGGTAATATGATGACAATGTGGAAAAATTGACTACCTACAACAAAGCTGCATACATATTAATTGTTCATGATGTTAAGTGACTCGTCCAAAGGCGTTCGTTCTACGATCAGGACTGTTCTCTTTGAATATCTTGGCGCATGAAGGGGATCATTATGCACCGCACGCGCCATCAAATGGCTCAGTCGGTTTTGCGTCATGGAGTTGCGCAGCCAAGTTTTGATACGGCACAGAGTGCTGAAGGAACTAGCAGGGTTTAGCAGTGTGAAATGAGAAGAGCTTCGACAGAAGGGAACGTCTGCCTCACTTCAGGTGACATAATGCTTCGTGCACAAGTGCAGCAATATTGTCGTTGCTACATTGTTTTCAATTTATAGGCAAGGAATAGAGAAATAAGATGACATTATATTGTATTAATTAATGATTTAGCAAGTTAGTAGGTTCAAACATATTCACATATATGTACTAAAATACTTAAATCAAAATGAGTGAACGAATGACATATTGCTATATAAAAAAGAGTTATAGAATCAAAACATAGCTGGTTCTATATGTCAATAACATGATAACAGATATCTCATGGGAAGTTTCTGCAGTAAATTTCCATTTAACCATATAACAGTGGGTTTCGACGTCATGTGACTTAATTAACCAATAGCTATAATTATTTATATCATATTTGACCAATTAGATAATTGAACGTCCAAAACCCACAGCTACAAAACTATCATACTTGTGAGAATTCGTTAGACAACAGACAGATTCTGGAAGGTAAAAGATGTAACCATTTCTATCAGCAGACTCCCCATATCGAGTCTGGCTGGCTAGGGTTTGAGAATGACTTTAGTATTGTAATCTCTACTATGCTTATATGTATCCAGCTTGATAAATAAAATGTAACCAGCGGCTGCCAGGCATGATACGCCCACATTTTTGAGAGATGGATAGAGAACAAGCTAAAAAGAAAGTGATTTTTCCTACAATCAAGGGCCATAATTCATGAAGTTACAATTCGATATGCGCAAATATCGAAAGGAACCAAGATCTTTGGATTATAAACATGCATTTGAAGTTTCATCAAAATCGGATTAAAATTGTAACCTCTACAGGGTCCACAACCTTGATATACCATATTTTAACACCTTTCGCGTACAAGCGGCGGCCATTTTGTCCGGCAGTTTTGATTGATTTTCAGGAAATTTAAACTCAACCTTTAGGGACCACAAGCTAAAAGAGGCGATTTTTCGTATAATCAGGGGCCATAATTCAGGAAGTTACGATCCGATATGCGACAATATCGAAAGGAACCAACATCTTTAGGTTATAAACATGCATTTCAAGTTTCATCAAAATCGAATTAAAATTACGACCTGTACAGGGTCCACAACCTTGATATACCATATTTTTACACTATTCGCGTTCAAGCGGCGGCCATTTTGTCCGGCCATTTTCACGAAATTCGAACTCAACCTTTATTACGGTGTAACAGTGATATAATCAAACGTTTTTTTTTAAATCGGATAATAATTGTGACCTCCAGAGGGACCACTAGCTAAAAAAAGAAGCGATTTTGCGTACAATCAGGGGCCATAATTCAGGAAGTTACGATCCGATATGCGACAATATCGAAATGAACCAAGATCTTTAGGTTATAAACATGCATTTCAAGTTTCATCAAAATAGAATTAAAATTGTGACCCATACAGGGTCCACAACCTTGATTTACCATATTTTTACACTATTCGCGTACAAACGGCGGCCATTTTGTCCGGCAATTTTGGTCCGATTTTCACGAAATTCGAACTCAACCTCCCTTAGGGGTAACGGGGATATAATAATACGGTTTTTTTTAAATTGGATAAAAATTATGACCTTTATAGGGACCACAAGCTAAAAACGCGATTTTTCGTACAATCAGGGACCATAATTCAGGAAGTTAC